TAGGCGAAGAGAGACGGTTGGGAGGAGCCATCTTCAGAGCGGGAAGGGTGCCGAAATGCCACACGCATCCACCATCTTGATTGGGGGCAGGGCATGCGATAACAGCGTTGGGCGCCATCTTGAATACGGGCAAGGGCCCCGGCGTGCGCATTGTGTTGTGCCCCGCAGCGCGGGCCGGGGCCTGCGGGAGCGGCCCAACCGCTGCCGCCATGTTGACTACGGGCACGGAAGCCGCGGGCTCCTCTCCGTTGCCATCTCGAGTAAGGGAGGTCGGGGGGGCCTCATCGCCGAAATTCGGTTAACGGTTAGCACCGCCGGTCTGGGGACTTGTAACTGTGCTAGGCAGCGCTTCAAAGCTTTATTTAAGGTACAGGCTGTTTAATTGCAGTTAATGGCTTAAGGATAAAGATTACCCGGTGGGTGCGAGAGAGAGAGAGAACTCATCAGGTAAGATTGACCGCCTCCCTGCTCCGCACAGGCATGAGGGCCACGTTTTTCCCAATTTACAGTCCTGACACCGTTTGCTGACCAAAACAGCTCTTCTTCCAGTCTGGTGGGCATCAGTGGTTAATTAGATAAGCTTGTTTCACTCTCAACGTGTGTCATTGCCTGTAGGCCTAACTTCTGCAGAGGTTCAGGTAAAATCCATGGATTTCCTGTCTGTGGGGATTTTCAAACCTCGAGAAGATTTCCTGTTCAGGTGCTGGGCCATCTATAGTAAATTTGAGCTTAGCACAGTGGCCTGAATTGTGTTCTGTTCTTTTGGTGGCTCCCTTCAAAATGGCTGTCGAGGTCGTCTATGTGCCACAAGATGAAGGTCCCTAAAAAAACGCAAGGGAGAAGCGGGTGTGCGTCTGGTTCCCACTGTAAAGGGGGCTGGTGCGTTCCCTTTGCTCCTGGGCAGGAGTGGGCACGCGAGGACCGGGATCCTGATGGAGGCTGAGCAGATCTTGGCTCATCCTCGCATCCACCAGGACATCGCCGGTTCCTCTCCACTGACACCGCTCTGTAAAACACTTTGCTTCCATAGATGAAATGCTGCATGTCTCTGTTTAAATATAGACAATATTTGCTCACTGGGAATTCTACTAGCAATTACTCATTTTCTTTGCCTCACTTGTCATAACCCTATCTCTTGAGTGCAGCACAAGAATTAATTGTCCCAGACCTCGCTACAAGTCCCTTGTGTAGCATTGAATCCAATATCAAATGTCCAGTCTGCATTGATCTTGGCTTCATTAGCTGCAACCCTGTTTTGAGAGTTTCTAGGCAACATAATACTGGTTTTACTGTAGAAAGGATCCTTCGTACCTCACCAGCCCACCCACTTTCGACATTTTTGTGAAAACATTTGTGCGATTCTGCCAATCTGCCTCTGTTGTCAGCGGTAAACAGTACAACCCTAATACAGATCAGCGCCATTGATGGAAGCATCTGAGTTAACACAGCAGTGTCAGTGGTTCGTATGTGAAGGTTTAGAAAAAGATTTTTAAAACACAGTGCAAATGAAATTCAGAGTCTTATCCTTGGGCAGTGTTTCTGTCAGGGAACTTTGACAGGTACAGACATGCGTTTTATATTCTCATTTCTTTCTGAAGCGTACACTAGACACATGAATATGGAAAACAACAAAGTTAAAAGTGAAACCGCCCATTATTTTCTCCCACACACGTATTACTGTTTTGGTTCCTACGGCCAGATGCCGTATTTTCTCGGTGGGGCAATGCTCAGATATTTTGGTGGCCAGGACCAGACCAATTTACTGCCTCACTCTTGTCACGGTTTGTGGAATGCAAGAGCGTCCAGTGACCTTGGATCTTACCAAGAGCTGGTAGCTCTAATTTCCATATCTGGTGTCTTGGGCTCCCCAGCCATTTGGCCCTTGTTCCAGCAGTGAAGTTTAAAATGGAGAAAAAGTATGTTCTTACCTATTGCTACAGGCAACTAAAGGCCCCATCTGAAACCAAAGTTATTTTACTAGGTACCGCATATGAAAGGCTCAGCCTTTGCCGCAGATAAGAGATTTACAACTTAGATGAGGCAAAGAATGGGAAAACGATGGGATTATGCGATCCACTTCAGAGCTGCTGAGCTGAGAGCCAGAGAGATAACGTGATTTGATCAAAGCAGAGCAGGAATTTAACTCCCATCTCACAAGCCACAATGCACTTTCTTGCACTCTGCCTGTTTTAAGATATTTTTTCCCATGGAGGTGTTTCACTTCATCTTCCCTTCAGAATAATCTGGTTTATATACTGTAAGTAAGAAATCCCTCCACAGTAGAGGATGGTATGGGGACAGGGTCACTGTTTGGTTTTTGATTTTTTTTTTTTTAATATGGGATATTTCAGTCCGCTTGTAAAGAAGAGCACCTTAGAGAAAGGTACCCCGAATATGACACAAAGACTTGGAAAAAAATCATTAATGCTAGATATTGATCACTAGTAAGAACAATATCTGATTTTCTTGTGGCTATTGACCTTAGTTTGTTGCCCGTGCAGATACCCCAGCTGCTTCTCAGGTATCTTTGGAAAAGCAAACACAGGTGGCTGCCGTCACAAAACTATGACTTTTCAAAGACCTCTCCTGTGCATTTGGTCTAACTTGAAAGACTCTTTTGGGGTTTGTGGAAGCTCCCTCAGATTTTCCGTAATTCTAGCAGAAATGCTGACTATGCAACAGTTTATCAGACATTTCCCTGTAATGAAATTTAAAGAATTTTTCAGACAGCATCTTTTCAGAGACTATGGGAGCAAACTGAGCAGCGATGCTCTTACGTGATGCAAGGTCCGTCTCTGGGCCAAACAGGAAAACGTGTTTAAGAACAAAATACTGCTTTATACAAAAAAAAAACCCCAAAAAAACAGCTGGGAGAAGGACCTGCCTCTGTCTATCTTTGTGTTTGTTTTGAAAAAGAAACCCCCATGAAAATGTCCATATGAAAACAAAGAGGAGGGAGAAGGGAAAAAATATGAATCAGCTGCTTTTGTACAATCCAGCAAAGGGACTCACCCTCACCCGGCTCCGGTTACTCACTTGCTACAAGGGCCCTGGCGGGGCACACCCAGGTTTTTCTCTTTCTAAGCCCTTCCTGCCTGTGTTATCTCTTTGAATTTAATTTACCGTGCAGCAAAGAAAAACTCTCTGAAACAAAAAAGACCCTTTTCCTGCCTTTTTCCCTTTGTGTTTTTAAAATAGCTCCAAGGCCTGTACTGCCTTGCAGGACACTGCTCTGCCTAACTACATTCATTTGCAAACCAGCAGAGTTTTTTTTCTCCTTCTCCTTCCTCTTCCACCCAACGTTTCTATCAACGAGAACCCTCCTAAAATATGGCCTCTGCTCAGGAACTCAAACTCCTGTGCATCGGCACGTCCTAGATACTGGTTTTAATGACAATTGTTTCCCTGCAAGTTCCCCTCCTCCCCCATTATTCACAGCACCCTGCAAGGTCCCGAACCAGGAAACTCTCTCATGTATAACCTTGCTGCCAGTATAGTCCCAAAGACACTTGGGGGGCAGGGGGTGTTTCAAATACTTTTGCTTCTTTTTGTGGCTTTTATTTATTTTCAACCCCTTTCAATTAGCGGGGCTGTTTTGTTTAAAAGGGTATTTGCAGCTTTAGCAACATCCTAGGATGCCAGAACATTCCTTTGTGCATCCTTCACGGTGCCACATCACAGCTCTGGAAATGGTTAGCCCAGCGCCAGCAGAGGAGGAGCGCTCACGGCTGCCTTTATCGGTCCAACAAGACACGCGTGGCTTCTGCCCGCCCGCCCGGCTCGCCCACGGCCCCGAACCGCTGCGAGCGCCGGCACCTTCTCACTCTGCACATCCCGCGGGGAAGGGGAGCAGAGAGGGACCGGTCACAGGAGAGGCCACAAGCCGTGCAGGCAGAGAGCAGGGGTGGTTGGAGGAAGAGGGTGGGCACAGGGCGGTCGCTGGAGAGCTGGCTGCGTTGGGGCCAGCGCTTGGGGAAAGTTTGTTTCTTCGCTGCAGGTGCATGGGTTTACACGCGGGGTCCATCTTTAGCAAGGGCAGTATGTGAGCCATGAGTTTGGGCACGTAAAGGATTATTGAAAAGTCGGTAGTTGATGGAATAAATTGGTTTGGAGTTCAGCTTCATACAGCTTCAGTATTAAATAGAAGTAAGTGCTTCAAACCAGCTCACAGGTTCCCTAAGCTGGGGTTCGACAGCCATGCTGCCACAGCAACTCGAGGCCTCCTTTCCAGGGATGAAGTTAAAAAGCACTTTGCAAGTGTATCCACACTTAGACCTTCCGTTAGCATTGCCACTGCACATCCCGATTTCTCCTTTTAGCAGGACTGCCAAGCTGTCCCTACAGGTATTTTTTATGCTGCAAGCAGTTATATCAACTTAAAATTTTAAGTATAATCATAGCAGCTCATATTTTACATTTCTTTCCTTCCTCCTGATCTGTAACAAAACAAGAGACTTCTCTGTATGCGTTATTCTGTCGTTATCAGTCCCAGTTATTTCAGAACTTCCCTGTCTTAGCCTCCTCGGGATGCTTTTGGGTGACTCATTTCCTGTGAAGGATGAACCAGCCATTTCCTGGCTATTCAACACAGGACTTCTTTTTTTCTTCCAGTCTGTGTGGAGTGGTGTGGCTTAATCTATAGTTTGATTATATCCCCACAACTTGCACCAGAACTGCAACGCTTCACTGGAGCCTTCCAAGGTGATAAACTGTCAGCATGTGTCGCTTGGGGATCCTGGCCTGCCCCTGCCTACCTGGGCCATAGGCTCGGTGGTTTGGGGCTGTGGAATTAACGTGATTACAGTGATAGACGTTCAGCAGTGCTGCCCTTCCAGTCACTGCAACCCAACTCTTCTCTTGATTCAACCCATTTCAGCTCATAATAAATAGAATGTTAAAAAAGCACCACAGGGCAAAGATACTGATCTTACAACACGTATCTAAGCCCAGGAATTTTGCGTTGCCTAGGAGGTGCTATCAAGATGGATATTGGCATTCGAGAAATCCAGGCAATACCCATACTGGGTTTTTCGTGTTAGACACAGGCTACTAGAAGACCGGGTCGGTTTCTGCGTTGATTCTGTGCCCGTAATTCCAGCTCGTTCTTCCATCCTGTGTTTCCAGTTTCCTGAGCCACTGGTTACTCATACTTCTCACTGATTCTAACTGCTGTGGACAGCTTGCTTGAACAGCGCCACCGAGGTACAAGGCAGTCTGGTCGTCCTGATGCCAGCCTGAGGTATCACAACTGCTTTGAGCAGCTTTTTACTGCCATTTTTGAAATTATTCTCCTGATCTTATTTCCCATCATTTAATTTGAATATTTAGATTCATTTGCCTGTCGTACATCTGTAAGGTTTGAGAAGA